TGTGACGATATATATATATATATATATTGTCACATCACTACAAACTAAAAGAGCGCACTTTGCGGAACAAAGAATAAAAGCAAAAAACGGGCACAGTGATAACATGCAAAAATAAAAAGAAAAACAAAAACAAAAAGAAAAAACAAGGGCAAATTGAAACCATTAAATTTGCAATTTTTCATTCTCGGTCTTCTTCTGTCATCCATTTGTCATATTGTCATTTGCATCCGCATTTATGTGTGTTTCTTAGCACAGACAGCAGGAAACGTTTGGTCCATGAATTCAGGCATGGACCCTGTGCTCACCAGTTAGCCCATGTTTGTTTGAAGAAAACACAGTAGTGCATATCTGTTATGCTTAAGTGTTTTTGGACCACCTATCTAGAAGGGTTGTCAAAGAGGTGAAGCCCAGGACTTACATTGAGGGCAATTTCTTTTTCGTCCAAAGCCTTCTGCAACCTCTCTTTCTCTTGCGAAATCTCGACTCTGCTCTGTTCCTCGGACCTTAGGCGGTCCTTCAGCTCTTCGATTTCCTCCTGCAGCTTCTTCCGCTCGTCATCCCTTGATCTCAGATCCTCATTCATCTGAGAAAATTCAGGAGGTAGTAGATCAAAAGAGTCAACCCTTGATAAGTACACTGCCCCACATCTTCAAACCATTGCACACAAAGACCATACAAAATGGTGATCACAGGATGATCAGCCCCCTTACACCCAGTGCCCCCTCGCTACTACAGCCAGGGTAGAACATGGGGTGGGGGCACACACTTAAATTTCAGAAAAGCGGGGAAAATTTCAAGCCCCCTCAGTACACATTGTGAACATATATGACCAATTGCGACGGCACAGTCACAAACACCACGGAAGCAAAAGCAAAATGGCATGAGAGGAATCACCCACAATGCACACAAGATGACCAGCCCAGCTCCACCTGGTCGAGAAAAGGAGTATTGATGATCATTGATTCAGACTGACCTCAGGCTGCCAACGGAGAAAAATTGAGCACTAAGCGATGTACTTGCATATTGTCCACGCAGTGACACAACGGCCTTGAGGCATCATCATGGAACTGATTGGCCGCATGGCAT